GCAGCACAGTGCAGCACGGCGCAGCACAGTGCAGCACGGTGCAGCACGGTGCAGCACAGTGCAGCACGGCGCAGCACGGCGCAGCACGGCGCAGCACAGTGCAGCGTGATGCAATACGGCGTCGCGTGCCACGGTGCTCACTGCGGAGAGCCCAGGCTGGAGTCGGGGGTGTCGGGCTGGGGGCAGCGGGGCGGGAAGGCCTTGTAGCTGTAGTACTCCACCACCTGCTTGGGCACCTCGGCCAGCACGCACTTGGCCAGCGCYGTCGGGGACGCCTGCGGGGGCGGGAGCGCTGGGGCGGGCGCCGCTGCGGCCCCCGCAGCCCCGGCCCTGGAGATGCTCAGGACACGCAGTGCTGAGCACTGTGCTGAGCCTAATGCAGAGCCCAGCACTGTGCAGCGCTGAGCACCGTGCAGTGCCCAGCACCGCACTCTTACCATGCAGTGTCCAGCACCATGCAGTGCCCAGCACCGCACAGTGCTGAGCCCCATGCTCATCCCCATGCAGTGCCCAGGACCATGCAGTGCCCGTGTGCCGTGCCATGACGATGCTCAGTCCCACGCGCTCTTGCTGTGGTGCCACAACAATTCTCAAACCCAGCACCGTTCTGCAATGCTGCTCACCCCCATGCGGCCATGCTGCTGTGCCCTGGAGATGCCCAGCCCCATGCAGCCCCAGAATGATGGTGTGGTGGTGCTGAGCCCTGTGCCACCCCAGAATGATGGTGTGGTGGTGCTGAGCCCTGTGCCACCCCAGAATGATGGTGTGGTGATGCCCAGCCCCATGCAGCCCCAGCATGATGCTGTGGTGAGGCAGAACCCCATGCAGCCCCAGCATGATGCTGTGGAGATGCCCATTCCCTGCACCGTGCTGTGGTGGTGCTCAGCCCCACGCAGCCCCGGTGATGCCCAGCCCCAGTGCGGGAGCCCCCCGTGCCCCACTCACGTTCTTGAACTCGCGGAAGGGGACGAACTGCACGATGTCGCGCAGCACGGGCTCGCCCTTGGGCGAGCGGAGCACGCCGTCGTCGCCGTCCAGGATCTGCATGTCGGTGAAGTCGGCGTTGCCCACGCCCACGATGATGATGGACATGGGCAGGTAGGAGGCGCGGACGATGGCCTCGCGCGTGTCCGCCATGTCCGTCACCACGCCATCCGTGAGGATGAGCAGGATGAAGTATTGCTGCGGAGGAAGGAGGGCTGCGTGGGGCCCCCACAGCTGGGAGGCCCCGGGCAAGGACGGACAGGGGCTCATGGAGGGGCGGGTGCAATGAATGCGCCRGGTCTCAGCGTGCTGCCCTACGTACGGAGGCCTCCCGGGTGCGCTCCTCGTCAGCCGCCACGCGGGCCACCTTGGAGATGATGGGGGCCACGTTGGTGGGGCCGTAGAGCTGGATCTTGGGCAGGCAGCTCTGGTAGGACTCCACGACGCCCTGGATGCCTGCGGAGCGGGGCCGCGTGAGCCGGACGCCRGGGCCCTGCTGGCGGCTCCACCTCCAGCAGTGGCCCCAGCTGCACTCACCCTCACACTCATCGTTGTCAGGGTTGAAGTTGATGGCGAAGTCATGGGACACCTGCACAGAGAGGGGGTTGAGCGCTGCCATAGGGCCCCTGGGCACCCCTGGCCCCATGTCCACCAGCTGGCACCGTGGGACAAGGGTGCCCAGGGGGGCAGCATGGACACGAGGGTGCAGAGGGACAGAGGTGCAGCAGGGACAGGGATGCGGCACGGAGAGGGATGTCCCGAGGGACAGGGATGCTCAGAGGGATCACACAGGTGCAGCACAGACAGGGATAGCCAGCAGGGCAGCACACACGGGGATACCCGGCTGCGGGTGCAGCCTGGCCGGGAGTGCCCGCACGGACAGGTCCCGCGGCAGCGGCTGCTCCCTCCTCACTCACCTCGTACTTGGGGGGGATCCGCGCCCCGAAGCCCAGGGCCGAGAACTTCTTGTCGCTGCGAGGGGAGAGGCGTGAGGGCGGCGGCGGGGGGCGCGGGCGCCGCGGGCGCCACGGGCACCTGCCTGTCGTAGTCCTGGCAGATCTCGCCCACGGCCACCAGCGCCTTGAGGTACTCGTTGGGCTGGTAGGGGTTGATGTAGTGCAGGGAGCAGCTGTTGCGCGGGTCCCCGTTGGACGCCGTGAAGTCGATGGCGACCTGTGGGCGGGCGGTGAGCGCCTGTGCCCCCCCGGCCCCGCGCCCGCCCCGCGCCCCGCTCACCGTGAAGTGGATCTGGCAGCCGCCCATGATGTAGTCCAGGAAGGAGTAGACCCTGTGGATCTTCCCGAGGCGCCCGTGTCAGCCGGCACCGGCCGCCCCGATGCTCCTCTGGCGTCCAGGGGGCTGCAAACGCAGGCGCTCCCCGCACGGGTCGGGTGGCACGGCGCAAGGCATGGTGCATGGCATGGTGCATGGTGCATGGTGCACGGCATGGTGCATGGTGCACAGTGCGGTGCACGGCATGGTGCACAGTGCATGATGCAGTGCACAGCACGGTGCACAGCACGGGCACAGTGCACAGTGTGGTGCACAGCACGGGGCACGATGCACGGTGTGGTGCATGCACAGCGCACGCAGGCGCTGCCCTGCCGCCTCGGCTCACCTTGAGGTCCAGCAGCACCACGACACCCGAGTTCTTGTAGTTGCGCTTCTTGATCTTGTACTTGGGGTTCATGCAGTCCCACTGCACCTGCGGCCCCAGCAYGGCGCTGCCGGGGCTGCCTGGCCTGCTGGTGCCCTGCAGCCCCATAGCCCCCAGACCCATCACCCCCAAACCTGCAGCCCCATAACCCCACAACACCATTACCCCCAGGCCCATAACCTCCAATATAGCAGCCCTATAAACCTGCAGCTCTGCAAGCTTTCAGCTCCCGGCCCCATAGTCCCCAGCCCCATAACCCTGTGCCCCCATGACCCCAGCCCCATAGCCCCCGGCCCGGGCAGCCCACCACCCACCCACCTTGTTCTCGCCCATGGCCTTCTGCATCTCCTCGAAGGTGGTGAAGAACTCGCCGATGAAGTCGTGCTTGCCGCGCGAG